ATTATTATAAGATAATATAAACATGTATATAAAAAAAAATCAAAACTGTAAAAGTTTTTTTCTCAAAATTGGCTTCGCGTTAGGATGAAATACTTTACCACGATAACACCCTACTAGTATACTACTAATATACCAAAGCTCGTTAAAATCCGTGAGGGCACAACCGTAAGGTTTCCTTGTAAGTCGTTACCAACTATTATTCACCCCGACCTTTAATCGAACATTTGGCGACCGTGACAGGATCGGGGTCTTACTAGTTTTCCAGTTTTTTGCAAAACGTTATTTTAGTACTTAACCATTAAAATGGATCTTTTAAAAAGGAAAAGAACAAATGCTCGCGCTGCATTCACAAAAGTGTACAGCACATTGAATGCATTACTAGATCCGGAAAGGCGATCGAGTAGGGCAGTGATTGATTTCAAATTCTCTCGCGCAATTGGAATCCAAAGCAGAATAATTGATTTCAATTTCGCAATCGTTCTTGGATCTAAGAATGGAAGAAGATGACGTTTTGGAGGAAGAAGTCGAGCTAGAGACGAACGAAATCGTGGAATATGAGGAAAAGTTCGTTGACATCAAGTCCCAAGTCGAGGATCTCTTCAAAGAGACAGAAAGTTCGTCTACTTCTGTACTAGCAGCCGTCACACTTCCAGTTCAACCAGACGTAAGAGCGTCTTGTAATTTACCGACGCTTTGGTTGCATCAATTTAGTGGTAATATAGAAGATTGGCTACCATTTTGGAGTTCGTTCAAGAAAGTACACGAGAACTCCGGGCTGACAAAAGAGGACAAGTTCCAATATTTTATCCAAACTATAGAGCTAAAATCTCGTGCAGCAGCCTTGATTAGAAGTTATCCGCCTACCGCTGAAAATTACGCAAAGACGATTAATAGTAGATAGATTAATAGTCTAATAGTTTAATAAAACAAAATTTATGACTTTTATTCTCTTCTTCGAAGAAGAGAGGGTAATAAACTTTTCATAATACAAATAAGTAATTTTAATTAGCCTACTTGCTGCAATATGGTAGGCTTGAATGACATTTTGAATTACATTTTACCACATTTTTCACGCAAAGACATTTCATAGTTTGGCACTTTCTTTTACATGTACATTTGATGAATCCTTGGCCGCTTCCATTGGATTGAGCAATTGCAACTGACCGAAGCGAAATTTCATGGTCAGGAATATCTTCAATTTTAAGCAAGTTCTTAGGGCATAAAGTGAATTGTGATCTCGCATATAATTGTTTTAAAATTCCTTCAGAAGTTCCAAGTCGATAGAAACCATCCTCTGTCACACTCATTACAACTGTTAATATATTGCGCGAATCACCTCGCCTCTTATCGACGGCAGGGATAGGAACACGCACAGTAGTTCCAACAGGAACAGTGGGAAATTTTTCATCTGAATTCATTATCATTTTTTTTGCTTGTTTTTCCAAGTGGATTTTAGAATCTATTTTTGCTTCAATAGCATTTTCTATTTTGAAACAAAAGAAGCATAAAATATCCTTTTCATTATATTTATTAGCATAGCTACAGAAGGTATGAATTTTTTTACAACACTTTTTGCATGCAAGTACATTACTCGTTTGTTTCATACACACATAACAGGTATCAGACACGGAAATCTTTTCGGTAAGCATGACTTCAACATGTTGGTTTAACACTAGATTTACCAGCCATTTATATATACCTATTTCTACCAAACCAGTCAAAATGACTGGTGTATAAGTAAAAATGTTTATTGTGGTTTCCAGTCTTTATTCACTCTTAAAAAATGACAAAAAAATTTGAACAATATTAATTGTAATAGATAAATGGATTTATAGACATTATCAAATAACAAAATACTTAATTTTTTACAGTTTGTCGCTCACAATTTCTACATATGTAGATTTTGCTGTGTGTACACTTTCCGCATAGATTTTTTTTGCATTTATTGCAAATATTTGTAGTTTTATTGTTATTGCAATATTCTATTTGACACCATTTGCGTACAGAAACCGTGGGCATTTGTAGTTGGTATGTCAGCTTCGTCTGGTTTTTGCCTTGAAGTCTGATATTCTGAAGCAAGTTCTTCTGCTAATCGAAACAGAAAGTCTTTACGTGAGATATTTTCTCCTGTTGTGTTTTTGTACAATATCCAGCTATTTATTCCGGCTAAATCTAAAATATTAAAAAACACTTGAATGGCCACCTTCTAGAACCTTATTTCACCGTATATTTTCATGCCTTTTGATCTGTGACATCGACGCCAAATTTAGTTTTATTATAAAACGATACAGTTTCGGGTAATTTCTTGGCAGCTTTTTCAACTTTGATGTGTTTCTGTTTTGTACTTAGTATAAGTACTTTTTTATTCAGCTTGCTCTTATAAACAGTAAGTGTGCATCCATTGGATTGGTACAACAACGTTGAGAAACGTGCCATGCTGTCTTTTTTCAGTTTGCAAGTTTTCGGCATTTTCCTCTTGTTTGCGCGTATTGTTCCAAGCAATGAAGTATTTTTAGATCTTAATTTTAACGCCAAAGGAATACTTGTAAAAAAATTATCTGTTGTTACAGTTCAACCCTTCATGGTATACGGTTCAAGAAGTTTCATTACAACAAATTCGCTTAGGGGAGTTGATGCATTTCGAGTCTCCTCTTTTCCTAAATACGGAAACCCATTTACCACATATTTCGTCTCTACATCAGACGCCAACCAAAATTTTATGCCAAATTTATGGGGTTTGTTTGGCATATACTGAGTAAATCTGCATCTGGCCTTCGATGGAAAAAGTTGCTCATCCACGGTAATATAAGCTCCCGGTTTGAAGCAATTTTTACTATTTTCGATAAATTTCCGCCAAACTGCTGAGACTAAAGTGAACTTGTCTGTTTGCAAACGTTGACTCCTCTGATTTCTTTTGTCGAAACGAATGTATCGCAAAATCTCAGTTAAATCACGTCTACTCATAGTGCTGGAGAAAAATGATGGTCCCCACTTGTTGTTCAACAAATATTGAAACCTTAAAGTAT